GAATAGGGCTGAAATCCTCAAATTTGATATTGAAGTCTCTATTCCTCAAATTTGATATTGAAGTCTCCATGGGTATCTGGGATTAAGATGTGGAGGTGGTTTTAGAAATGTATTCTATAATTGTTCGAAAAGAACTAAATGTGATATTGGTTGAAGGATAGAGCTGAAATCCTTAGATTTGATATTGATGTCAATGTGGAAATATGTACCACAAGTGCCCCAAAACTACTAAATAGTACTATATTTAGTACAATTTGGTATTGAGTGAAAAGATAGTGCTCGAAATCTGAAAATTGGTATAATGATCGCTGTTCATGTGTGGCCTGGACATGTAGAGGTAGATTCGGAAATGTGTACTATAATTGTACGAAAAGTATCAAATGGTACTAAATCTAGTATTGGGTGAAGGGATAGGGCTAGAACCCTCAAATTTGATAAAGAAGTCGCTATTAGCATCTGGAGTTGAAATTTGGAGAAAGTTTTGGCAATGTGTACTATAATCGATCGAAAATATTGAGATATGGAGATGGTTTTGGAATTGTGTACCATAATTGTACGAAAAGTACTAAAGAATAGAGCTGAAATCCTGGAATTTGATATTTAGGTCACTGTTGGTATCTCGAATTGAGAAATGTGGTAATTTCTGAATTGTGCACTACAAGTGAACGAAAAGTACTAAATAGTACTACATTTGGTACAATTCGGTATTGGTAATGGGCAAAACTACAGAGCTGAAATCCTAAAATTTGATATTGAGGTCACATTTTGTAAATTGTTTAACCCTACAACTAACTCTATGTATTGTGGTATTATATACCGATCGTCATTTAAGTCCGATTATCGCAGATTTTTTCTTGGATTCTTTAAAATATTTTTTGAAGTACACTAATGGGGCTTGGGTTTTTTAAAACATTTTTTGAAAGACACTCATGGGTCGCTGATTTTTTAAAATATTTTTTTTAAAGGATTTTTTTGAAAGGCTCTCACGTGACGAGGATTTTTTAAAATATTTTTTGAAGGACACTCATGAGTTGTGTTTTTTTTTAAATATTTTTGAAGGATTTAAAAAAAAATGTGAAGGAAAGGCACTCATGGGGCGCGAATTTTTTAAAATATTTTTTGAAGGACATTCATGGGGCGGGTTTTTTAAATAATCTTGAATGACACTTATGGGGCGTGTTTTTATACCCTACAACACTATGTGTTGGGGGTATTATAAGTTTGATTGGGCCAAAAATTATGTAACACCACGAAATATTGATTTCCCACATAGGAAAGTATATATGGATCTTCCTATCTCGCCGAGCTGAGTCGATCTAGCTATGTATGTCCGTCCGTCCGTCTGTCCGTCTGTCCGTCTGTCCATGTTAATTTGTAATCACTCTACAGGTCGCAATTATGGTCCGATCTTCACGAAATTTAAAATGGAGGTGGGGCTAGGGTCAGAATAGAACCCTATTTCTTTTGATGATGATCGCATAATAATTAGGGGTTGAAATGGACCAAAAACTGAAAAAATTCCTGATTTTGCACTTGCTCTATAGGTCGCAATTATAGACCAATCGATGCGGAATTTCGCATGTAGCTAGAGTTTAGGGCTGGCAAGAAGCCTACCCATTTGGGTGGTCATCGGATAATATTTAGCGGGTAAAATAGACCATATCTTTTTTGTTGAAAAAATTCAAAATTTTTCATTAAACCGCGAATATTTTAAATCCCGGCGAAATCACAAAGCCATGACAAGGTTACTTCTGATCTTTACATTGATGTTAACATCCAACAAATCGGATATATAGCAAAATATGTGCGATATATATGTCTATCAAAGAAGATATGCTTGAAAAATCTCTTATATGTCGAGAACGGCTGAACTGATTTCAACAGTTCTCATTAATTCAGAATGGCCTCTTGGCAGGAAACATAAAACGTCTAAAAAAATCGCATAAAAATATCTCTCTAAAGATGAAAATATTGATTTTGTAAAATTTTCTCATATTTTTTCAATTTTGTCATATTTTTGGCATATTTTAATTTTGAATTAAACATTTGGTAATATTTCTACAGCTAACAAAACTAAGTAGTTAAGATATCAGGATATCATATACAGATCGCATTTATGGCCCGATCCTTACGAAATTTAGCATGGAGATAAGATGAGGGTCAGAATAAAAGCCTATTCTTTTTGGAGATGATCGCCATATATTTAGGGGTTGAAATGGACCAAAAAACTGCAAAATTGTCAGCAGGTCGTAATTGTGGGGGTTACCGGACATTGCAAGAGCCAAGCAGTTTTGGATGGCCATCCAAAAATATTCAATGTGTGAAGGAGTTTGCCAACTTTTATAGACAAAATACGAAAATGTCCATTCCAGTGACTTTTTGGAGAATTCACAAATACAGGAAAGACACACTTCTGACTATTTCGTTAACGCTGATTTCGTTACAGAATATAGTCAAATGTCTGTATCTCATATAGATGCGTTTCAGTCAAAAACCAATAATAAATGTTAATCTTTTGCCACTTCTGAGAGATTATAGGTCTTTGGGAAATATTGGTTCCAGATCTTGGAAGACCATTTAAGTGCAACATCTTCCAATAAATTGGAAATGAGCAAATTAGTTTAAGTTGCTATTATTCAAAAATTAGAGAACGAAACCTGATGGTTTTCTTTTATTATTTGTCACAATATCTTTTGGAATTCTTTCGAGTATCTCGCCTATATAAGCTGTATCGTTTATTATAGTGTTGTAGGGTATTCAACGGTCGGCCCCGCTCGACTGTAGCCTTTGCTTACTTGTTTTTAATATATTTTTTTGAAGGCAAACAGAGGGCGTGGATTTTTTAAAATATTTTTTGAATGACACTCATAGGGCGTGTTTTTTAAATATATATAATTTTTTGAAGCGCAATCATAGGTCGTGGATTTTTTAAAATATTTTTTGAAGTTGACTCATGGTTCTTGGATTTTTTAAAATATTTTTTGAATGTGACTCATGGTCCTTGGATTTTTTAAAATATAATTTTGAAGGTCACTCATGGGTCGTGGATTTTTTAAAATATATTTTTGAAGGTCACTCATGGGACGTGGATTTTTAAAATATATTTTTGAAGGTCACTCATGGGACGTTGATTTTTAAAAATAGTTTTGATGGACATTCACGGCGCGTGGATTTTTTAAATATTTCTTGAGAGACACTCATGGGGCGTGGATTTTTTAAATATTTTTTGAAGGGCCTGAAACGCTACGGATATTTTAAATATTTTTGAAGGATGCCCATGGAACATGGATTTTTTTAAAATATTCTTTGAAGGACCTGAATAGCTGTGGATATTTTAAATATTTTTTGAAGGACCTGAAACGCTGCGGATATTGTTAATACTTTTGAAGGATGCTCACGTGGCATGGAATTTTTTAAATATTTTTTGAAGGACTTGAATAGCTGTGGATATTTTAAATATTTTTTGAAGGACCTGAAACGCTGCGGATATTTTAAATAAAGGGCCTTCAAATAACGTGGATGTTTAAAATATTCTTTATTTTGAGGCCTAAAAATTACATGGATTTTTATTGAATATTTTGTGAAATAATCTTAATTACAAAATGTTTTGAAGGACCTCCAACAACTGCTGTTTTTTACATTTATACATTTTGTTTAATGTTTTGGAAGGACCTTTTTTTATTATTATTATTATTATTATTATTATTATTATTATTATTATTATTATTATTATTATTATTATTATTATTATTATTATTATTATTATTATTATTATTATTATTATTATTATTATTATTATTATTATTATTATTATATTATTATTATTATTATTATTATTATTATTATTATTATTATTATTATTATTATTATTATTATTATTATTATTATTATTATTATTATTAGTATTATTATTATTATTATTATTATTATTATTATTATTATTATTATTATTATTATTATTATTATTATTATTATTATTATTATTATTATTATTATTATTATTATTATTATTATTATTATTATTATTATTATTATTATTATTATTATTATTGATCTTCATTAGATGTAGATTTTTCTATTTTTTAACAAAAATATTATTATTATTTTTTCTTTATTTATTTATTTATTTTATTATTATTATTATTATTTTTTTCTATTTTTAAAAGAATACTATAAAAATTGATTGCTATAAATTTTATTGTTTGAACGAGCTTTAAAATACAAATAGATTATAAGGATTTTTAAATTATATTTTTCTGCATTACCCATACCACCCACTTTCTTGGTTTTTCGAATTTTGCGTTGAACCCAACACGTACTGTCTGTCCTTCAAAAAAAAATGAAAATGAATGAATGAATGAAATACCTTTTGACCATAAATTCGCACACAAACACACTTGATGTCTGTAACCCAAGAAAGCAAACAAAAATTGAACACAACACAACTGAACAAAGCAAAATATATAACAAGACTGTTGAGAATACAAAGTGTTGAAGAATGATGGCAAAACAAATGTAACTGACAACAACAAAGCATTGTTAACGTGTTAACTATGTTATAATAGAATGGCATAAATTTGCATTGTTTTCCTTTTCGTTTTTTGGTTCAACACTTTTTGGCTATTCAAAATTTACCAAAATATACCAAGTGCTGAGTGAATGAACGAACAAAAAAAATGCCAACCAAAAAAAAAACACTTCTACACACACACAAAAGCAATAAAAATCTTTGGCAGACATGTTGGCAGACATTGTGGGTGAAAATAGTAACATCTGTATCGAAAGGATATTCAAGGACCAGAATATGAAAGATGGAAAACCTTTGCAACATGTGTTTTGGGAACCATATACCCGATGCTCATTCATTCATTCATTCATCCAAGTGTTAAGTGTGGCGAATTTTTGGCTAACCTGCCAAATGCTGTCAATCGCCCTTTGAGAGTGGAGCAAAAAAAGGAAAGAAAATTATGCACTGACAATGATTTACACACCAAACTTACCTTTATTGTGTGGAAATTCATGTTTGCAGATGATGGAAATAGTGAATAGATTTTCCATACCCTTAGGGACTTGGTGACCACATGTGGTGATGTGTGCTCGTGTGGCTCCCCAAGGAGGCAATGTGTTAAAGTGCAAATATACGATCATTTTGTCCGTGTTCTACATCATTGAATACGGTTGTGCAAGATGTCAGAGATTGATTATGAGAGTATGGAAAAGTGTGGGCCTTTTTTGAGGGAGGTAGCGGAGCCTTTGTGGGGGAGATTCCAGAAGGAGTGGACCGATATATACCATCTTCACAACAGATCTTCTGTTAGTGGAAATAATGGGGTGTGTAAAATATAAAGAGAACCTGATGCTAACTTTGGATTTTATAATCGTTATTTAAAACTTCGACCCTTTGTGGGGGAGGTACTAGAAGAAATGGTCCGATCTTTATCATATTTATAACAGATCTTGTGTTAATGGAAATATTGAAATGTGCCAAGTCTGAATTGAATCGTATGTTAATTTCGCGTTATATGACCTTCATAAATATTCAAAATTTTGACCCTTTGTGGGGGAGGTATAAGAAGGAGTCGACCGATATATTCCATTTTCACTCCAGGTCTTGGGTTGTTAAAAATATTGTGATGTGTGTAATTTGAAGACACTTGCATCATAATTTATAAAATTAAAATTATTCAAAACTTTTACCCTTTTTGGGGGATAGGTACAAGAAGGAATGGTCCGATCTCTACCGTTTTATAATAGATCCTATGTTGATGGAAATATTCAGCTGTGCCAAGTCTAAATGGAATCGGATATTAATTTCACGTTTTATGAACTTAAAGGATATTCAAAATTTCGACCTTTTGTGGGGGAGGTACCAGAAGGAGTGGACCGATATATTCATCTTAACACCAGACCTTGGGTTAAAATAAATATTGGGATTGATGAAATTCTCAGGCAATCGGACTCTTGCATCACATTTTATAAGAGTTGCAATTGTTCAAAATGTTGACCCCTAGTGGGGGAGGTACTTGATACTATCCATTTTCGCACCTGACTTAGCACTGATAGAAATATTAGGACTTGCAAAGTTGGAGCAAAATCGGATAACCCTTTCTCTTTCTGAGCAATAAAATAGTTTCTTTGAAAATTTCGACATTTTGTGGGGGAGGTAGTGGATCGATATCACCCATCTCCGAACTCGATCTCAGTTTGACAATAATATATCTATGACCAAGTTTGGATCAAATCGGACACTCCCATCATGGGTTATCGTGCGCACCAGCCAGACAGACGAACGGACGGGCGGACATCGCTAGATCGACTCCAAATGTCCTGAAACAGATTTGGTCCAAAGAGACCTAGGATCTAAAAACGTTATTTCGACTAGGCACGTTTTGACCGTATCAAATGATATATACTCTCTGTAGGCATATGGCTGAAGGTATAAAAATATTACTAAGAAATAAATTACAATTACTGATCCTGTAAATATATATTTTTAAAAAATCTGCCATTAAAAAAACTGTGAGAGTATTATTAAACAATTAGAAGGATCCATGAATTTTGTCATTAGGTTTTGGAAAAAATTTCTCAAAAATCAACGATTCGTGGACCCACAGCAATTGAAAATGTTCCTTAAAAACCAAGGTTATTGGGCTGATAGTGCTTGAAAAAATTAGAAATTAGAATATTCACTAAGGTTCTTGAAAAAATTTTCTTAAAATGTATCCCAAAATATTATCGCTTTTGTTGACTGACAATCCTTTAAAAATGTTTTTAAACATTGTCCGTAAAAAATACTCGTTAAAATTAGGCTCAATTCTCTTTGTTGCTCCATTTTTTGTTTCAATTTTTTTTTTCAAAATAAGTTTCTCAAGACACCTAAGCTATAAAAAATAAATCCTATATCCAAATATACAACGTTTCTATTCAAATCCATAATTCCAACCTACAGTCTATAAATATCACAAACTCTGGTAACTGTTTTTGTGCCTGTCATTTATTCGCTCAAACTTTTCTAATTGAGTTTCTAGTTTTGGAAAGTAAACGCCCAGAGCGGCAATGGTGCTGGCGTTTTAGAACTAATCCCAGTTTGTTTTCGTTGCATTGCAGTGTCTAATTATTATCTATATTTCATCAACTTCAATTAAATTACCTAATTACTTTTGATAAATATCAGCGTGACATACATACGAGTACTGCTAAATGTGCGTAGATATTTGAGTGAATGAACATACAAATGTGTATGTGCCTAACTTTATTAACATGATTGCTAAATTTGGATGTTAACATTTCGATACACACATTAGTTGTGTTCCAGTACTTTTTTAGTAGTAAAACTAGCAGAAGAGAGAACAGTTCGAAATGTCATTCTCATTTAGGTTTGCTCAAAAAATAAGGGAACGGAAAATTAGCAGAAATGCGATAAAATATCAAAATTCAAAATTCCAAAAGTAAACAGCCTAAATCGGACTGGTGAAACCTTACTGAAAAGAACGCCAAAATTTAAAAAATGAGAATTGAAGACGATAAGTTAAAATTAATAATTTATAATAGTAATTAATAATCTGATTCCTCATTCAGCCAGTCCTCTTCACTGCTGGAATCATCCAAAAGTGAATACATCAGTTGCCCCATATTTCCTCTTTTTGTTTTTTGAACGACAAATATTAGTTTTTCCTTTAGTTTTCAAGTTGGTTATTTTCTTTATTGAAATGTATCAATACATTTTCAACCTTGTTAGCCCTGCCAATTAAATGTCAAATTTACAATATGCACATTTCTGCTCGGCCAAATTCATGTAGCTAAAACAAGCAGAAATGTGCACCACTCAGCGCCATTTTTTTCTCGAGAGAGCTGCAAGTTTTGCTAGTTTGTGGAGTACGGGAACGCGTTGTAGCAGAATTAGTGCTAATTAGTACTAATTTGCAGGTTCTGGAACACAACTATTATGTGGCAGAACCTTGTAAAACTTTTGAAATTTCCAAAAAATGTTCCTTGTAATTCATAAACCATAGGTTCCATCTACCTGTAAATTAATTAGACAATCAGTCAAATATTACTTTTGCATACATCCCAAAATTTGTATTTATTTTTTATACCCTACAACACTATGTGTTGGGGGTATTATAAGTTTGATTGGGCCAGAATTTATGTAACACCTCGAAATATTGGTTTCCCATATAGGAAAGAATATATGGATCTTCCTAGCTCGCCGAGCTGAGTCGATCTAGCTATGTATGTCCGTCCGTCCGTCTGTCCGTCTGTCCATGTTAATTTGTAATCACTCTACAGGTCGCAATTATGGCCCGATCCTTACGAAATTTTGCACGAAGGTGGGGTTAGGGTCAGAATAGAAGCCTATTTCTTTTGAAGATGATCGCCAAATGTTTAGGTGTTGAAATGGACCAAATACTGAAAAAATGTCGGATTTTGCAGTAGCTATACAGGTCGCAATTATAGACCAATCGACGCGGAATTTCGCATGTAGCTAGAGTTTGGGGCGGGGAAGAAGCCTACCAATTTGGGTGGTCATCGGATAATATTTAGCTGGTAAAATAGACCATATCTTTTGTGTTGAAAAAATTCAAAATTTTTCATTAAACCGCGAATATTTTAAATCCCGGAGAAATCACAAAGCCATGCCAAGGTTACTTCTGATCTTTACATTGATGTTAACATCCAACAAAACGGATATATAGCAAAATATGTGCGATATATATGTTTATCAAAGAAGATATACTTGAATAATCTCTTATATGTCGAAAACGGCTGAACTGATTTCGACAGTTCTCATTAATTCAGAATGGCCTCTTGGCAGGAAAGAAAAAACGTCTAAAAAATCGCATAAAAATATCTCTCTAAATATTGATTTCTCATATTTTTTTTTTTCAATTTTGTCATATTTTTGGCATATTTTAATTTTGAATTATACATTTGGTAATATTTCTACAGCTAACAAAACTAAGTAGTTAGGATATCAGGATATCATATACAGATCGCATTTATGGCCCGATCTATACGAAAATTTGCATGGGAATAAGATGAGGGTCAGAATAGAAGCCTACTCTTTTTGGAGATGATCGCCATATATTTAGGGGTTGAAATGGACCAAAAAGTGCAAAATTGTCAGCAGGTCGTTATTACCGCCCGATCCTCACGCACATTTGAATGGGAGTTACCGGACATTGCAAAAGCCAAGCAGTTTTGGATGGCCATCCAAAAATATTCAATGTGTGAATAGTTTGTCAACTTTTGTAGACAAAATGTACATAAACTGTATCGTTCATTATAGTGTTGTAGGGTATTCAACGGTCGGCCCGCTCGACTGTAGCCTTTGCTTACTTGTTTTAAATTAAATTCTCCAATTTATTATCATATTTTTGCAATATTATTTGCTTTAAAGACTTAAAAAATGTATATTTTAAACTCTTTTCCCTTCCAAAAGTCCCCTACATCATCTTTGTGCCGATGTATGTCAATTAGCTTCAATGATGGCAATAGACTTTATCTAAATACTTGTATCCGAATACTTCTAGGCCAGGCCTAAGTAGACAATGTATGTGAGCGCCATAAGTGCATACGGACGGAAATATATACAGTTCTTACACAGTAAAAAAATTATTGATACATTCGGAATTTGTTGTCCATCTTTACTTGGAAAATGTATCTGCGAATTATATGCAATCAAAACTTATTTCTATATTTTTTATACCCTCCACCATAGTATGGAGGGTATATTAAGTTTGTCATTCCGTTTGTAACACCTCGAAATATACATTCTAGACCCCACAAAGTATATATATATTCTTGATCAGCATAAAATTCTATGTCGATTTAGCGATGTCCGTCCGTCTGTGGAAATCACTCTAGCTTCCGAACGAATACAAGTAGAATGTTAAAATTTTACTCAAATGTATGCTATGTCTGCAGGACTTTTGGTATTGAAAATGGGTCATGTGGGTCCAAGTTTTGGTATAGCCCCCATATAACGGTACCTCCCAATATTCGGTATTTTGATGATTTTAGCGATATTATTCAACGCAATTCTTTCAAATTTTGCGTTGAAGTTCGTAATGGATATTACAGCCTATGATAGAAAATTGTCTGTGTAGGTCCACGTCTTCGTATAGCCCCCATATAACGGCATCTCCCGATATTCGGTATTTGGATAATTTTAGCGACATTATTCACCGGAATTGTTTCAAATTTAGTATTTGAAGTTCGTAAAGGATATTACTGCCTATGATAGAATATTGTCTGTGCAGGTCCACATCTTCGTATAGCCCCCATATAACGGCATCTCCCGATATTCGGTATTTTAATGATTTTAGCGACATTATTCACCGGAATTGTTTCAAATTTGTGTTGAAGTTCGTAATGGATACTATAGCATATGACAGAAAGTTTTCTGTGCAGGTTCACGTTTTGGTATAGCGGCCATATAATGGCACCTCATTAAATTTTTTGATGATTTTAGCGACATTATCCATTGACGTTTTTTTATGTTTCGCATTTGAATATTGTAATGGCTTGCCCATGCAGGTCCACGTCTTCGTATATACCCTAATATAACGGCTACATTTGGTATTTTTAAGATTTTAAGAGAATTTTTAACGGATTTTATTTTTTTGAAAATTTTCTAAATTCGTTCCAAATGGTGGAGGGTATTCAAAGTTCGACCCAGATGAACTTACAGCCTTTTTTACTTGTTTTGAATATAATTTTGTTGAAAATACACCACTTAAGTGGTAGGTAGGGAATGTTTAAACATATGTTGACTTATGATATGATTATTCAAAATGTTGACCCTCTATGGAGTAGATTCCGGAGGAACAGGTCAATGTTGTTCATTTCGTATCGGACCTAAATAAATATGATATAAATATTGCGACGTTCCACGTTATGTTCTATATAATATATATTCTTCACTTTATATGAGATATGTGATAATTTCTAGAAAATGTTAAAATGTCCGTGAGGTACCAGATGTATCGGATTTTTTAATTGTTTTGGTTATTCAAAACCTTGGCCCTTTGTGGGGAAGATACCAGAAGGAATGGTTAGATTTATAACATCTTTACAACAGATCTTGTATTGATGGAAATATTAATATATACCAAAATCTGAATGGAATCGGATGTTATTTTAGATTTTTGTGAGAGGGTATTCAAGACTTTGACCCTTTGTGGGGGAGGTATCAGTTGGTGTGGACCGATATATTCCATTTTTACACCAGACCTTGGGTTTATCTAAATATTGTGATGTGTGTAATTTGAAGAGAATCGGATGCTTATTTTATAATCGTTTATTCGAAAGTTTAAGCCTTTGTGGGGAAGATACCAGAAGGAATGGTCCGATCTCCACCATCTTTATAATAGATTTTTTGTTGACAGAAATATTGAGATGTGCCAAATCTGAATGGAATCGGATGTTAATTTTGAGTTGTATAAGCTTCATGGATATTCAAAATTGTGACCCTTTGTGGGGGAGGTACCAGAAGGTGTGGGTCGATATATTCTATCTTCCCAGCAGACCTTGGGTTAATAATAATATTGTCATATGTGTTACTTGAAGACAATCGGACCCTTAAATCACATTTTATAAGAGTTATAATTATTCAAAATTTTGACCCTTTGTGGGGGAGGTACTTGATGAAGTGGACAGATGTTGTCCATTTTCGCACACGCCCTAACACTGATGCACATTTTAGAATTTTCAAAGTTGGAGCAAAATTGAATTATCGTTTCTCATTCTGTGCAGAATTTTTTTTTTAATTCGACCTTTTGTGGGGATGGTATCAGAGGGAGTGGACCAATACATTCCATTTTCACACTAGACCTTGGGTCAATAAAATTATTGAGGTGTGAGAAATTTGAAAACAATCCGATTTCTACATCACATTTTATAAGAATTGTAATTATTCAAAATTTTGACTCTTTGTGGGGGAGGTACCTGATGGAGTGGACCGATATTGTCCACTTTCGCACACGCCCTAGCACTGATGCAAATATTAGGATTTGCAAAGATGAAGCAAAATCTGATTATACTTTCCCTTGCTGTTCAGTTAAATATTTTCTTTGAAAATTTCTACGTTTTGGGGGGTAGTATCAGAGGGAGTGGACCGTCATTGTCCATCTCCGAACTCGTTCTAAGTTAGATAATAATATTACGATGTAGCAAGGACCAAATCGAATACCCTCTTCGAGAGTTATCGTGTTCACCAACCAGACATACGGAAGGACATCGCTAGATCGACTTCAAATGTCCTGAAATAGATTTGGTCCAAAGAGACCTAGGGTGTAAAATGTTATTTCGAGGAGGCAAGTTTTGGCCGTATCAAACGTATATATACCCTCTCTAGCCATATGACTGAGGGTATAAAAATGGCTATAACTTATGGTACGATGAAAAAAATAAAATAGTAATTGAACAATATATAGAAAGCGAGCATATTTTCTTAACAAAAAGTCAAAAAGAAGCCAAGTTCGGCCGGGCCGAACTCTTTATATCCTCCACAATTCGGAAGGAACTTGAAAATTTCCAAAAAAAAAAAAAAAAAACGCTCCAATAAAAAACCTTTATATGGCACACACCTGGTGCTTCATAAGTGATTTTTTGTCATAGGCTGTAGTAATGATTCCGAACATTAAATACGAAATTCGAAACAATTCTGGTGAAAAATGTCGCTAACATCGTTAAAATACCGAATTAAAGGAGGTACCATTGCATGAGGGCTATAAAAAGACTTGGACGTGCACAGACAAATTTCTGTCTTAGGCTGTAGTATCGAACATTACGAACATCTAATACCAAATTTCAAACATTTCCAGTGAATATTGACGCTTAAATCACCAAAATACCGAAAATAAGGAAGTATTATTATATGAGGCCTATACCAAAACGTAGGTCCACATGGTCCATTTTCAATACTAAAAGTCCTGCGGATATAATATACATTTGAGTAAAATTTTATCAACCTACTTCATTTCGTTCGGAAGATAAACGGACGGACATCGCTATGCTGATCAAGAATATATGTACTTTGGGGTCTTAAATGTATATTTCGAGGTGTTACAAACGGATTGACAAACTTAATATACCCTCCATACTAGAGGGTATAAGAAACAGTATAAGTAGTACCATGAACATGATTATAATAACTTGTTCCCGTACTTAAGGCTACCAAAATGAAAAAAAAAAAAAACTTTTAATCGAATTATACAAAATTCATTCAAATATTTTTCTCGGTGTATGCATCCACGTACACATTTATATACACACAGTATCTTGCATTTCCATGCAGTAGTTACATATCTACACCTAACATTGGTTGCATTTTCCTTGCCTTTGTTGCCATGTTCGGTGACTTGAGTGCATCTTGTACTTGACGTACTTGTACTTTTCGTATTGCCTTGAACGAGGCTACTGCCAATGGGCGGAGAGGGAGGATAAGAATACTTGTGGGTGTACTTGCCTGATATTGTGTAGGCAGGCAGGCAGGCATATGCCACACAGTTATCTAACATAATTGGCATTGGCATAGACATTTGCTGGGTGTCGATATTGTTTTTTTTTTTTTTCCTTTCTTCGATACGGTCTATTGACCTTTAAATGCTGGCGAATCGAAAGGTGGTAACCTTAGCATTGATTTGTAGGTTGAAGATTTTGTAATTGTTATGCATTTGTGGTTTTGCGATAATTTGTAGAAATGTGAATAAAGGTGAATTGTAATAATGAAATAATTTGGAATTTCGAATTGCATTAGAAGGCAGAAAGTTGTATATGGCATTCTATATAAGGAAACGCTTAAAAAATGTTAGAAAAATATATTTTTCTAAAGAAGACCAATAGCAGGACTTCTTAGAAAACGAACGACTGGGCATACATAAAATAATTAATAATTAAAAAAAAACTGGTAAAATATTAACCTATATAACGCTATTCCCTCAATGTGCATATCGGTTGGCAGAGAATTTTCTTAAAAATCCATAATTATTTGCCAAAAGTTTCGAATGACATCAGAAAATTCTTAAAAATATTGTTATGGAATCCCGCATTTTTAGGCATTATTTTTGACAAAATATTTTTAAAAATCAATAATTGTTTTTCCAGAAAATACACTTAATCCACGACTTTTAGGCAGTGAATATTTTATGTGTCCTTAAAATTGTCAACTGAAAATTTCCTTAAAAATCACTACTTTTGGTCAGAAGGCTTTCGATTTTATTTGTATTCATTATTTTTGGTCCATGAAGAAACCTTTAATAAAATCAACGACTTTGTACAAGAAATCTATGAATGAATATTTTTAAGTTTGATATTTTTTTAAAAAAATTTCCTGAACTCTGTTAACGATTTTTGACTAGAAACTATTACAGCTATTCTATAAAAATCTGCGAATAAAAAATCTTAAAAGTGCAAGTGTTTTTGGTCAAATGGTCAATGATTATTTTTAAATACACTAGTTTTGTTCGAATAGCTCGTTTTTTTTCTAATTTTTGATTTTTGGTTGTTAAACAATACAGGACTTTTGTCCACGAAAGCAATGAGAAATATTCATAAATATCCACCTTCTTTCAAAAGTTTCTTGTAATAAGTTCATGATTTCTGAGCAGAAATTATTAAAATTTTTCTTAAAAACAATTGGTAATCATAAATCCACGATTTTTGATATGCAAATATTAAAAAGATTCATTACAAATTAGCCATAAAAAAATTTAAATATCCTGGAATTTTGTCTTAAAGTGTTCTTAAAGATCCACGATTTTGGACAGGAAAAAATCATAAAAGTCCCGCAATAGAAAAATTTCATAAAAGAGGAAAAGTAGCTTATCTTAAAATGCTCATAACTCCTTAAATATTGACATTTCGGGGATTTTAGTATGTTTAGGAGGCCTTTAAAAATATATTTAAAATAAAAAAATTTTGTCCGAAGGACTTTGAAAAATATTCCTAAAAATCCACAATTTAAAAAACAAACTTTACAAATAGGAAGGAAAAAATCTTAAAATTTAATGTTTGATGAGTTAGTAAAGATTGAAAAAGGTAATTTAAATCCATTTTGGCCAAAAAGATCTTGAACCAAATCTAAAAAAAAAATCCAACAAAGAACTGGACAATTTTTAGGCAGAATGTCCATGAAAAAATATTTTAAAAACCCTTATATTTAAGGTAAAGATTTATTTTGAAAAAAGTAGAACTTTCTGTCAGCTAGGTTTGGAAAGCTCTTCTAAAATATCAAAGATTTTTGGTCAGAATGTCCTAAAAAAAAATCTACGATTTTTGAACAGTTCATCCTTAAACAAATTTATTATAAAAAAAACACCATATTTCAGTCAGGAAGGCCATGAAAATGTATTAAAAATTAAATCTTTGGTTAAAAGACCCCAAAGAACTGGACGATTTTTGTTCAGGATGTCCACGAAAAAGTCTTAAAAAAACACCCAAGATTTATGGTATGAACTTCTTTTGAAAAGGGTAGAATTTTTAGTCAGGTAGATTTTGAAAAAATCTTTTAAAAAATCGACGATGACGCCTTAAAATAAACTTATTTAAATCCAATATTTTTATTTTTTAAAAATTTATTTAAAAAAATCAACCATGTTTTAGTCAGGATATCCATCAAAAAAGTATTTAGAAAAATCCATGATTTTCGGTCAGAATATCCATACGATTTTGTGTAAGGCGGTCCTATAAAATCTTTTGAAAAGCTTCAACCTTGAAAAAGTCTTTAACAAATCCCAACATTTTTGGTAAAGACGACTTTTCAGAAAACTTGATTTTTTAATCAGTAGGATTTTGAAAAATATTTTAAAATATCTACGACTATTGGCCACGAAGTCCTTAAAATAATTTCATTTAAATCCACTAGTTTTATTTATTAAACATTTATTAAAAAATCTACCAGATTTTAGCCAGGTGGTGCTTAAAAAAAATATTTTGAAAAATCGGTGATTTTTTCGTCGGAATGTCCATTAAAAATTATTTAAAACCCCCTAAGATTTTGTGTAAGGTGGTCCCAAAAAAATCTTTTGAAAAATAATCAATTTTTAGTTCGAAGCTCTTAAAAAAATATTTTTATGGGTTTGGATTTATATCCAAGATTTTTGGTAAGGAAGAGCTTGACTTTTTTTGAAAAATTCATAATTGTTGGTAAGTAATAATAAAATGTTATTATTAACAATAATAACAAATAATCTTTAAAATATTTAAGTAAGAAGTCCTGAAAAGGTATTTTAAGAATATGGTATTGAAAATGGACTGTTTTCGGTTTCTTTTATCCAGAAAATCTCTAAAATATTCTTTAGAAAACCTGGTTAGAAGGTTCCAAGAAACGTCCTTAAAAATCCATAATTTTTATTCAGGAGGTCCAAAAATGTCTTTAAGATGGTCCAAGAAAATTGTTCATTCAATAATCCATGATTGGTCAAATTCCTTAACAAATTTTACAGGATATCCAAAATTTTCGGTCGAAGGATAAAACAATTTCAGTAATGCACGATATTTTGTCCAGGGATTATTAAAAATACTCTTAAAAGGAATTTTCTGTAAATATCAAAGCGGTTTTGCTTAGAAAGTCTTTGAAAAAATATCATTAAAAAAAAAATAATAAAACTAATTTCAGGTTTTCCTGATTTGATTTTTATCCAACAATTTTTGCCAAAAAATGTCCTTTAAACTGGTCTTTGAGAAAAGTCGTATAAAAATTCAGTATATCTTGTAAGTAAGTTCTTGAAAAAAACCCCTAACAATATTTTAGGAAATGAGAATCTTGAAAAAAAAATGATTAAAAGATTCATAATTTTATGTCACACGCTATGACAATTTTGTTCTTAAAAATCCTCTGATTTTGGGTGAGGCGATTCTTGAATCAAATTTTTTAAAATTCCCTGAAAATTATCTGTAATAAAAGCCATTTATTTTTTCCGAAAAATGTTAAAAATATATATTTTATATAAACAAATAAAAAATTTTGGTAAGCATAATTCTAAAAAAGTTGTGCAGAAAATTTTAAATTTATGCACCGAATTCAAGATTTTTTTTTTGTCCGAAGATCTTTGAACATTTTTTTTTTTTTTTTTTTTTTTTGAATTTCAAGATCAGTTATTCCCTACAAAAATTTATTCTTTATAATCCCCGATTATTTTGTCACGATGTCTTAAAAATATTCTTCAAAAATCCAAAATCCTTGACCAATTTGTGAATAAATCTTAAAACATCACGATAGCTGAGACTACCTTTTTTAAAATTTTATATTATAAACTCTTAAATTTATGCAAAAAACTCAATTTTTTCAGAAGATCCTTGAACCAATATATATATATATATATATATATATATATATATATATATATATATATATATATATATATATATATATATATATATATATATATATATATAACACTTTTCAGACCTAGGACTTGAGGCAAACATTACTTGAAAGAATTTTTATGAACTTTTCCATGCTCTGTATAACACCATGAGCATTCACATCAATATAACAAAATCTGCACACCGATTGATACTTGAAGCGAAACAAATCAACATCTGTTATATTCAACAAAACAATCACCGCCTAACAATGAAATTTTCATTTACCCAGAAAATCGGAATTTTTAGTGATTTTTTGTTGTTGTCGATGGTTTTCCGCATTTTATTCAGGCGCTTTACAATTGCATAGCTTGCTTTCAAAACCGAAACAAAAAAACAAGCCAAACAAAAAAACAAAGCTCTGATAAAAATCGTTTGTTATTCGATAGTACCATTGTTTATTGTACTAGTATACATATATACATACATATTTCAAAGTGATTTTGAAACAATATTGAATTTCAATTCTTTGTTTTGTATTCTTTTGTGAACTTGTGTTATTGTGTCTCTGTTTTGGAAACTTTTGTTTAAGACAATTTCGAGCAATTCATTCGATTAAAGTGCATTTGAAAAGAGAAAAAAAAACCTTTTTGATATTTAAATTTTATGGTTGGGGATAAAAATGTTTTTTTTTTTTTAAAGACGATACTATTGTGTTGAAGATACATTTTTGAAATTTTGGAGTTAACCAAACCAAAAAATCAGATATGTAGCAATTTCATCAAATAAAGTACTATAACTATATTATTTTTTAATAATGAGGACTATAACTGTATTACTTTTTTTTAAGAGGTTAATCTAAATTGGAAATCGAAAGAAACCCCTCAGAAAGCCCTTGAAAAAATTTTCTTTTAAAATGTTTGGTCAAGAGAACCTTAAAAATATTCTATAAAATTTAACAAATTTCTGGACCTTGTCTGAAGGACATTTATTAAAATTTTTTATCTACAATTTTTTTGTTAAGAAAGCCCTTGGAACTGGGCTTTGGGAAAAGTCGTATTAAAAATCTACTATTTTTTGGAAAGTAGGTGCTTGAAAAAAAAATTGCTGTAAATCCCAGATTTATAGTCAGGAGAATCTTGAAAAAAATTATTAAAAAGTCCATAATTTTAGATCAGCACGCCTTGGAAATAATTTTCTCAAAATCATAGTCCTTAAAAAAATTTATTCAATT